TCACAGGTTATTGTAAAAAAGGAAGAAAAAAGAAAAGTATTTGCTGGAAAGGTAAGCAGTCATTGGAATAGTCGCCGAAACGATCGTCGGAGCCATCATCAGGAAGTTGCCGATGCTGGATAGGTCGCTGGAATTATTTTCGGGGTCGTCGTCGAAGTCATCGCTGGAGGTGCGATGGGGTGGATAGAGAAAGAAAAGGGTTTGATGTGATGGGTGGGTTGGTTGGAGTTGGGGCGAGATAAGTAGATTAATTATACTATATTATAATTAAATATTTAATAAATTTAATTATCAACTATGTTTTTAAAGATTTTTAGAAGTTTGCCAGTTTTGAAATGTAATTTTTAAATGGAGAATTTATGTGATGTTCCCCTATTTATCTCGGGTCGATAATGCTGCTCGCTAAGTTGATTTTTTAGTTGGGTTGAGTTGGGCTAACCACAAAAGGCTCACGTTCATATTTGTGTGGTTTTATTTTTACTTCCTCACTAGTCATGATTTGAGGTTTATTCTCATAACTTTGGTATATCTAAATATTTATCTATATTAGTCACAAGTAAACGTGCGTTGCATGTAATTCTAAAATGCTTTATCAGTGTCGTAAAGTAATATTTGACGATGCCCTAATATAAAAAAATAGATAAAAATTATTTATGTGAAATGAACTTTTTATACAACTCAATTATTTATTTACGTGCATGTATAATAATTAACATTTATTTATATATACCCTATTCTAATTCAATCAATTAATTCTTCAAGTTCATGTACACTTTATATGTTTTGGAGCTATATTATTAATCTATAAGTATGACAATTCAATTATTTATGTATGTGCATGTATAGTAATTAACATTTATTTATAGATATATTAAATATCACATCAAGTCTTCAAGTTCATGTACACTTTATATGTTTTGTGAGCTATTCAATTATTCTAGGAGTAAATAAATTATTCATCAATTACTATAGGAGTAGATAAATTATTCTAGTTCATGTACACTTATTAATTTTCGATATTATTTATTTAATCTATGATATAACACCCTTTGTCTAAATATATATAAATTATTTTCTATATCTATTAATTCAAATTAATTAAATTCCATGTTGGTTCATGTATGCATCCTTAGTCTAAATGTATAGAAATTATTCTTTTTCTATGTTAATTTAAATTTCATATTGGTTCACCTACACACCATTTATCTATAAATCATTCTTTTTCTATATTCATTGATTCAAATTAATCAAATTCCATTCATGAATGAATTTGACAATTATTTATTTATATGCATGTATAATAATTAACATTCAATTAAATACATATTGAAAGACAAAAAGAATGTATTATTGAAATAATTGAATTGTAGTAGCGTTAGAATCGTCCAAAAAATGATTCTCTTTTAATGTGACATTTAATATATTATTGATTATCAGTTAACATACCCTTTGGTGGTCGGGGCGGTAACATACCATTCCACTGTGTTCGTGGTGGGCGCTCTAACATACCATTTGATAAGGGTGGTGGCAGTGACGAGTGATTCTGACCAAGGCCAAGACCACCACAACCTTCTCCAATAGAACCTAGCAAAAATTGGATTGGACAAAATTGAATGACTAATAAATATCTAAGTTAAATAAGTTATTATCGAATTTCCAATTCAATATAATGTAGCATACATGCATAGAAAGTCAAAGACAATTAGAAATAGAATTAGAGTTGAGTGGATTATAGACTTTTGAGGTGCGCTATCTTTTTTTCTGCCAATTCAATAAAGAAAACGAAGGTCCAAATTTTCCGAGTGGTTTTACCTTCATTTTTCCCCTTAAAGGGTTCGTCCCTATAGAAAGTACATATTTAGAAAGGAGAAAAAATAAATGACAAAGTTATAAAATAGGAGAAAAAGTTAAGAAAAGAGTTGATTAATAATAATTGCAAGTAAAATAGTTATAAAAAAATAAAACAGAAGAAGAAGAAACTATGAATCTTACATTGTTTGACACAAGCTAAGCTGGTTAAATTAAATAAATTGGCAGACCCATCAAAGCATTGGCAATAGTGAGACGTTCCATTTGCAATGCAGGCTCCATCACTACACCAAACATGATTACAAGCTGTGAATAATAGCATTTTCATTGTTTACATCAGTTGATAATATCATTGAAGTATAATTTGAGCAAGAAATATTTAAAAAAGAAAAATCGAGAAATTTACGGTCGGAAAAATTGAACGATAGCATGGTAAACGGGGGAGCAGTCACGTTGCCACATTGAAAATCAAGTGTACCTGCACATAATTCATTGGCACCCAAGGTTACAAAATATGCTCTATCCAATCACTTATATGGACAATCACTCAAGTAAGAAATGGTTAGTCACTTGCTAAGACATGGCCAGACTCATAAAAAATTAGCACAACGGGTGAAAGCGTGACAATGCAATGCTGTGTGGTGATACAAGCCTCGGGTTGTAAACTTATTTTCTTTGAGAAGAAATGACAATATTTGGAAAATAATTACGAGCTATCTCTGTGCCAACCGCCTGAGTAAGACATATGATGCAAGCATTTTTCAAAATGATAGAATGTAAAACATTTGTATGTGACTTTTTAAGTTTGCTGTCAAATTTCAGGACTCATTTTGGACCGGTTGTAAAAACTACCAAAGTGGACTGCATTAGTGATAGAGGGAATTTTCAATGAAACAGTGATATGTATAGAGATTAAAAAAAAATAATAATAAAAAAAAATAAGGATCCTACTAACCTTATGCTTCCCGGTATTCAAGAACTTTAAGCCTGATAAATTTGAGTAATATTATTTATAGTTACTCACTGCGTAATCGCCTTACGTGGCATCCTACATGGGAGTTTGTTATTTAATATATTACCATGGTAATTTTTTCTTGCCACATATATCAAATCACTAATCGTCACATGCGTGTCATGTAAGACGACTGCGATAGTGAGTAATTGCAAATAGCATTATTCAATAAAATTTTGATTATATTTCGTATTCTATCATGCAAATTAAACCTATCGATTCCAAAACTATTGTTTAATATCCCAAAAGGAAAACTGACTATATAAGTTAAGTATTGGGTTTAATTAGATGCCTCGAGAGTAAGATTTCTTGAATAGTTGCTTCTTTTTAAATTTGTTGTTTCAAACTCAATAGGGATCAAATCAAACTCACCTAAGCACTAGCGAATTTCATGATATTATGAAATCCCTAAAGACAACAAACAATGCTCTCATATTAACATAATATACTCACAGTTGGGAATAGAACATGCAGAATATGGCGCGGAAAACGTCCTATTCCAGCCAGGGAAACAATCACACTCAAATCCTATAATGGAATTGTTTGAAGGTACACACAATCCTTTTCCACAATCCACATTTTTGCATATATCATTTGTACAAAATGACATAAGTTGAACTAAAAAAAACTCTAAACTAACAATGAATCCTCGAACATGACATAACTTTGATCATAATTGCATATGTACCTTGTTGGACCGAAGTCTGAAAGATGAAAAGGAAGAAGAAAAGAAGAAAAATGGGAGCGAAATTCAAATTATAGTTTGCCATACTTTTAGGAATTGTAATTTGACAAGAGAGAGAGCAACAAATTTGCCATACTAGTTATTGTAATGTATTCAATGCATAGTAATTTATGTTCGCGCTTTGTAATTCACTCCTAGAGGAAACTTATAAGGTAAATTCTAGCCACGGTCCCTAACCTTTGAACATTTTTGTAATCTCGTTTTTAATATTTTTTGTGACAAAGTGGATACTCAAAATAGTTGTAATTTGTATTAAAGTAGCATTGTAGTTGCTAATATTATTCCTCATGTGCTCACAATATTCATTTTCTGATCAAGGTTTTAAACATGCACAATTTTCTAACAATAGGGTTTGATTTATTATCTCACTCTGGTATAGCGTTAATTATCTCATCTAGAATATTAAACTACAAGAGAATGGCATATGTATTTATTAGGACTGTACTCCCAACTTTTTCGGTACACTTTGAGTTTTTAACCTTCAAAAGTTAGTTTTTGAGTCCTCAACATGTTTAGTTATACGAATATGGATCATTACGTAAAGAAAATCGTCAATGTGTATGTTAATATTGCATACAACTTATACATGTCTCAAATTAGATGTTAAGTGATTTGACGATTTTGTCCTCCAATTATCAGTCATGTATATATATGAACATATAGTTTTACCATCAACGAACTCTTAATATCACGTTGGATGCAAATTTACGTATTCAATTTGATAGAAGACCCGACACCATGCTTTTTAAAGTTGAAGATTATTATTGCACTAATTAAAATGTTAAGGATTGTAAAGAATGTGTGAAGAACCAAAGAAAACATTGAAAACATCATTAATTGACACTACATTTGCAACTGTTTATACAATTGTATTGAAAATTGAAACGTTTAAAAGGCGGAGACTAAGTGAGTCGATATTTTCAACTATGCAACAGACAAAATTGAGTTACAAATTCTTCAATTTACAATATAAGAACGGATAAATTCTCCTTTTATATCTCACAATTATTATCATTTATGAAAATAGTGTAGACATATTACACAGTACAATGAGCAAAATTCTAGCTCGATTATCTTCTTTGCTTTTTCTCTTTAGTGCTATAGAATGTCATACATGTGTCTAGAAAAAAAAAGTTGAGATATGATGTTCCTAAATTTTTAGCTCCCTGTCACATCTTTTTTTTTTTTTTTTTTTTTTTTTTTTTTTTTTCACTTGTTTTTTTTTTTTTTTTTTTTTTTTGACTCATCGCACCTTAGTATCTTCTCTTTTGCTAAGTAAATATGTGTCGAGATGTCAAAATCGTATTGGAGACAGCCAAGCAGACAACAATTCGGGACACCTCATCTAAGTATTACTTGATCTATCAAAATGATACTGTAATGTATAAACATCAAAAATAGGAATAGGAAACGATCATTTTATTGCATGCACAATGACAGAAATCTGTTTATATTGGAAATTTTGTTATGTAAAAATATGTGAGTTAAAGCACAAAATTCTCCAATTATTTGGGGTTAAGAATGGATCAAGCTGTAAATTGGCTAGAAGTATTCAAGATTACACCACCATTCCTCCATTTACAAGTTCTTCTAACCCTCTTTTGAGCCTCTGTGAAGCAGTACGACACTGATCTTCAATCAACCCACCAAACGAAATCCTAATATACCCGGGACAGCCACTGGAGGATCCCGGGATTAAGACCACCCCATGTTTCCGAGCTAGCCAGCTGACTACTTTGAAGTCTTCAGAAAATTTATCCGGAAGCTTTGCCCACAAGTAAATTGCACCTTCTCCACCTTTGACAGCATCCTTACCAAGTGGAGATAAAGCTTCTAGAAGAAGTTCTTTGTTTTTGACGAGGTCTTTGACTCGATCAGTGACCCACTCGGGCCCCATTTCCAACGAGTGAAGCGCAAGTCGTTGTGAGATAATAGAAGCGCAAATGGGGATGTTGTCCTGGACTTTAAGGAGTTGAGCTGATAAACCTTCCACTTCCGAAGGGAATGCAATCTGCAATAATGAAGGTATTCAAACTTCACGCCCAATTTCTTGTCATTCAATCGATACTAAAGTCAATAGAAGAAAAGAAAATTGGCAAAGAATTTTCTCTTCAAGACCGGATGTGAATTTAATGGGCGACGTTCCATGAAAAATAACTAAAAGAGTGAGTGAAAGTGAAATTAAAAAAATGATAGTGAAACGAAAATTTAGAATCGTTCATGCAAAACAGAAGTATAATGAACTTCTCTACCATCCAAATCACTTGAAACTCTTTCAAACATAACATTACTTACATATCCAACTCGCCATCCCATCATTCCATAAGCTTTAGAAAAAGAAAACAAGTTAACTATGTGATCCCCCTCGACACAGACGTGCTTCCGACCATCATACATGAAATACCTGCATATAGGCTCATCACTCAGTTCAAACTTATGGACTGGCAGATATTAGGACCATAACGCTTAATCAGAAACTAGATAAACAGATTCATATTTGAAGTGCAACTGTGTGGAACAAAATTCCAATCAGCATTCTCTTTATTCAGTAAATTTTGACATCTCAAGTCTTACATATACTGATAGTCAAATAGGGTATTCAAAGTGGGACGGCCGATATTATTAAAATACTGATTGCACATTCTTCCTTGGCACATTTGTGTTCAAAACAGCACGGCATTGAAGCAAATCTAATATACTCAACGTGATATAAAAGAACTCTAAAACTTTGCTGAATTGACAGAAGCAATGTAACTATTCGATACACAGAATAGACAATTAAAACTCTACAAATTTATAGAAGTTCAAGATTATTAGCACCTACAAGAAGCAATGTCAAGAAATATCAACCTCATTTAATTAGTTATGAACAGTCAGCTGTTAGGCTTATAACAAATTATGAAAGAATTTATCTAGGAAAATTGTTTGACCAGACGAATCTAATTGCATAGTCGATCTTATTAATATACAAATTTTGGCATCCATTTGCCTCAACTAACCCAATAACTCAGCACTAAGAAGAAAGGAGGAATACACTCACTCATATGTATTGTCTACCACAAGCCAACATCCGGCATCTTTGCAAAGGTCCGATATTCTCTGCTTAAAAGCAATATAAGGTTAAATGCCATATGAGGATAAAGATATAAAAGGGGAACTTTGTTCTGAAAAGAACATTTTAGTTATAGGAAGTAAAACTCCAGCACCGAATTCTTTTAAGGATTTTGCTACTTGTACTAAAAAATATACATAATGGGCTGCAAAATATGATGTGGAGGGAAAATATTGGATGAAAAAGTTGATTGTGCTTTAAACTGGCAAATGGTAGAGTGCCATATGACATTATGTAATTCATTAGATAAATGTTTATGTATATGTAGCAAAATCCTTCTTTTAAACACTACGCGCACTCACACACACACCTGGAGAAGTGGCTCGGGAATGTAGGTTCCAGAGGGGTTGCCAGGATTTACAACAGTAACAAGCTTTGGAGTTGGTTTTGTATCCTTTAAAGTACTCTCCAACCAGTCTGAACAAAAATGACAGTTAAATCATTATATAATCAGGAGAGTAATACCCCAAGCATGTTTTTGAGCCTACATGATGTTCGTTAGTCATAATGCGTACTTGTACTGTAAACTGTTACGTAATCAATATTGTTCAATTTGTGTCATGAAATCATGATAATAGGCAATTAGGCATCTTCCAACTATAATACTTCATAGTTGTGCATCCTCATAACGATATGCACACAGGAGAGAATGTAGCCTCTCATACCAACTGATGTAGAAAAGCACAGAAAAAATAGTCACAACTAAATTATTAATTCTTACAGAAATATAAAAAATTTGGTTTCATTGTAAATATAATATTCCGAGAACTGGACACATAAGTTGGGAAGAATCAATTTTCCATTCAATATCTAGCTCCAATCCCATGAAACAAATTATAATTCTGCTTTACCTATAATAATTCAGAATACAATTTTTGCGACCTTTAAATGACTGCCCTAGGTATTGAAATAAGAATGTTATAATTACTACTAATTTGTTCTATAAATTACAGGTCAGACCACTGATCAATCCTGCACCAAGCAAGAATCAAAGTTTACAAAGGACAAAAGGAAGGAAATGAAAAATAAAACAGATCATAAGAATCCACCTACAACATCAACAATAGCAAGCCATGTCAAAGCAGAGTTCTAAGTATTGCAATATTTAATGGATTCGTGACAAATTTTTGACTGAATTAATTTCCATAGAGGTTCCTTTCATTATATAGGAATAAGTAAAATCTAAATATGGTAAGTGTAATTACAACCTATACACAATTATATAAAAAATTATACTAAACGGTCAATATTTTATAAATCATAAGCTTCGTAATCTTCATCAATCTTCATGACCTTTGTCGATCTCATAGACATCCCCTCAAATTGATGCTATATAATCAAGAAGCATGAATTTGTTGTCTAATATACAAAAGAACTGAAAGGCCGAACAAGGGCTGGACAAAATTTCTAAACCGAACCGAGTGGTTCTTCTTAAGTTAAATACCCAAACGGGTAACTAAATCGAAAACAAACAGGTTTGGTTAGGTTCAGTTCTCGATTCAAGACTAAGAATCGAAAAATCGAATAAGAACCGAATCTCCCTAATTTTTTTAATTTTTTAATATTAAATAAATCAAATTACTTTATTTTTTCTAAATAAAACTTAATTAATTTAGCTTAAGCCAAATATATGATTTTCCTATTTCTAATTTTCAGCCCAAACCTAAGTCCAGCTTAATCAAATTGATATAAATTTTGCCCAAATCTCATTCTTCCATTTTAGAGAAATCAAATTGAAAGCTCTCCTGCGCCTCTATTTATTATTGTGAGCTTGTTACCTTCCTCTTCCTATGATTTTAATAGTTAATCTATGAAAACTCAACAAAGGGAAGTGCAAAAGATATAATGGAATTGGACTATGTTATTTTGTAACAGTTAAAATTGAATATATCATTAGTTGAATTAATATAGCGCTATAAATTTATTTTTTAAATGTTGTATGGAACCCCGGGAACCAAATAAAGTTGAACCGAACCAAACTCGGTTCCATGATGAAATTTTGACTCCACGGCTCCACTTACTAAATACCCAAAATTTAGATTCAGGTCGATTCTCTTTAAAATCGAACTGAATTAAACCATGTCCAGCCCTAAGCCCAACTGTAATAATCCAATACCATGATTTATGGCTGCTCATGACAAGATTTTAGCCTACTATCAAATCATACAACCTAAAAAAACCCATCCTATATAACATTCCAAATCTGCAGCCCATATACAACAATCCTACACTAACACCACCAAAACCATCCTAAATCCAAAATAGTCTACCTAAAACAAATCCAACAAAGATAGTCTGTAGTCCGACTATATCTTATGACCAAAAACCCTAACAAGTCCAACAAAATAACTCTACATACGAATCCAAATCCAAATCTAAGCCCATCATCCCAAATCAAAACAACCCACTAAACACAGTCCATATAAATCCAAACTCACACAAACTTCAAACCAATTGCACCTAATCCACATACTATTAAACAAAATCCTAAAACCACCCTAAACCAATTGCCTCCATCTACTGCATCTCCGATAGTTTTGACACCAATCTCTTTGGCACCATCATCGATCGCCTCCTCCAAGACTTCACCTTCAAGTTCTAGTACTCCACCACCATCAATAAACCAACCTGTACCTGTTCTCACTGCCACCAATTGACAAAAAAAATACACTTCAACCTGCCTGATTCGATGCGGTAGTGGAAGAGAAGGGATCAACTTCACCTTCTTCAGAACCCTACATAAACTCGCTGCCCTGCACCCTCCAACAATCCCAAATCACCGACCAATATATCACACATCAATAACCCATAAACAGCAATCACCTCTGCATCACCAGCACAACCATCATCCACAATAATGCAATTTGAAACTCATACCCTTTGCACATAATAGACACACATCAACAGATCTGATTTATTTTATTTTATTTTTCTCTATAGAGTTTTATCTTTCTCTACAGCTTTAGTAGAAACAAACAAACAAACCATTATTCAACCAAAAAATCTTACACCACAAAGAAAATCGTCGATGCTCAAAGATCGGACTGAGAATTTCAAACTCAATGACCCACCGACACTGTTCAAATAGCAGGCATCACACACTAAAGAGGAAGTCGCTCGTCGATAACAAAATCAGAATCCAAGACAATGCTTTGTCCTAAAAAAAACGGAATGTCCATGCCACATTTGACGCATTGAAGAGTCACATGCTAACAAGAATTATCAACCATTGACCACAACAAGAGTCACACGTTGACAAAAATTCTATCAACTGTAAACTACCACAAAAACTCAACCCTGAGAGGCTGAATTATGCCCAAAGAAAATTGAGGATTCAGTATAAAGTCCACGATGTAGGCTCTGATACCATAACAAACTTTTGACTAAATGATTTTTCCAAAGGGGTCCTTGCATTATATAGGAATAAGTACAATCTAAATATAATAATTGTAATTACAACATAAATACAATTATATGCAAAATTATATTAAACGGACAACATTTAGCAAGTTATAATCTTCACAATCTTCGTTAATCACCTGATCTTTGCCGTTCTCATTGACAATTGATACAAAGCCCTTTCCAAATTCTTGGAATACATCAAAAACTTTGCCTTTGATTATGAGAAAAAGGCCAGCAGCTTATGTTAATTATGTACAATTTCCAATTTGAATAGAAGTTCAAAATAGATAGTTCCTTGTCCAGAATGACATAAATCATGCAGATCATAAAAAAGGGAGGTTTATCTGAATTCAGAAATGATTATATTTTGATCATTAACCTGCATCTGGATGAAGTGTCTTTGGATCACCAGGACCGACTAGAATGTCAGTGACTCCTGTCATCTGGAATGACATATATGAATTGAAGTAGTATGGAGCAAACATGATGACTGAATCTCCAGCATCACACAGTGTAAGAACAATATTAACAAAAGCCTGCAACAATTTGAGATCAGTTTAGTTAGAAAATAAATAATGCACACAATGGGAACAAACACACCAAAATACATAAATTGCAATACACACCAATTAATTTGCTACCCAGTTGAAATCACATTCACCATTTTAACAATATAAGCAATTATCCAAAGAATTTATTACATAGAAACTCAAATGTGAAGCGATTTTATTAGTTCGAAAAATTTAGACCTCTGAAAATATCTGGCTGGAAACTGGGAAACCTTGAATAAGGAATCATAGAAATCAATGACAAAATGTGATAATTAAAATGAAATTTCAAAGTCATTCAAGAACTGTTTTCAACTGTTCAACTTCCTTAAAGGGTTACAGCTCTAGAGAGTTGCAAAAAGATAGGAGATTAGAAACTAACGAAATAAATTTTCGAACCCATATAGATTAACAGAGGAGAGTGAAAAAGAAAAAGAAGTGAGAGGCAAGCCAATCACAAAATACACATGGCTCATGTGATTACTAAACCTCGGCAAACAAAGAAAAGTTTAGCAACTATCTCATGCATGGACTAGTTGTCCAAATGACTTTAAAGAATCTAAACCTCCTATGTATCTGTGATCAACAGAATTGAGATATCTGAAAACAATATTTTTTATTATTTCTTCATTCAAATTCGAAGTGAACTTCATACCTGATTTGCACCAGCAGTCACCATCACTGAGGATCTGTATAAATTATTTTCTTGCCGCAACTGCAACAAGAAAATGAAAGGAGTGGTTTAGAAGAAGTGGGGAAAAATTGTCCAGACATGGCTTTATACCAATTTTGAATTCCACTAAAAAAGGTCCTAACTTATATTACAAACTGGTGAACTCTGTTTAGTGATTATCTTCCAGACATAAGCCTTTACAAGTCTGTTTAACACTCCATCGGGTTAATAACATGAATTTTTTAGCAGAGTCAAACAATTCGCGTTGTATGAGGCAAACTGTAATAACCACAAAACAAAATTTAGCAGATGTATTATATTAGTTTACCTTTTTCAATAATGCTTCCCTGAGCTCAGGAAGACCTTCATCGGCACCATAACGACTGATCACAGGCTCCCATACAAGATCTTGCACCTTTTTTAGAGCCTGTTTAGGCGGTTGCCAGTGAACTACCCCCTGTAGAACAGCATGATAGAGTATTGTAATGGCCATAAAATAGACAAACTAGCCATTAGAAAAAAAATCTCTAATAAATTGAGTTGAGGGCTAGACAAAATGAAAAGTACAATATGAACTCCCAAATTTATATTTTTCAGTTATTTTCAAGAAGACAAATAAGATAAGTCACTAATAATCACATTTGTGTTTTCTTACAAAAATATCATATTACGAACTTTGTTAACAACTACGGACTCTAGCAGCAAAAACATTTGAACTTCCAATACTAGCTAACTATGATTACTCAATACAACTTTGTCAAGCCAACAAATTATCAGCAATCCAAAAAATTATTGTACCCAAGCAGCAACGAAGCTTAAGGCTTGATCTTCTAAATTACGCCCTTGTTGCAAAATAAAACCAATTTCACCGAATCATAGAGATTCAATTAGGATAACAGGGAACGTATGAAATTAGGAGAACTAGGAACATATGAAATTCATTAATTAAGTGCAAAGTTGACTGGATCCATCACCTAATTCACTTTAAAGTGCAAAAGCTCCAAAAAATTTTCACCCACAATTTTTAGCAATTAAGAAATAGGAAAAAAAAAATTCCTTTTCCAAGAATTTGTTCTAATCCAGAAGATGGACAGGATGAAAAGCATTCACACTTCTCAATTTCTCGAAATTCCATAATAAGAACATGGCCAATAACTTTAAGTATACTTCAGAAGTTTTAAGGAACAAAAATTAACAATTTATATTGGGAAAAGTAAACAAACCTGAGCCAGAGAAATACAATCTTTCACACCTCGGATCAGCTCTTGTATCTGCAGATTTAAAACACAAAAAATCACAGATTTCACTTGGTAAATAAATTAGAATAATTATAAGAATAAACTCAGACCAAAAACACATACAACAAATGGAAGCCATTTCAAGAAACAATGGATAATTAAGTACCTGAACCATAATAGGGGTATCAGTAAGCACAGCCCTTCTTGCAAGCATTCCGTAAGAACCCATTTTCCTCCTAATTTCTCTGGCCTTTTTTCTCGGATAACCACCAAGATTCTTTTCAATTATATAACTCCACAAGATAAAGATTCTTCTTTATCTCACCTACCCTTCAATTTTTTTGGCTTCCCCCCCTAAAACTCACAAGGCTAATATGAATTCAGATATATACTGCAGCCAAAAGTAATGATAAAAAAATACTACACGCATTTAGCTTGCAAGAACAATGAAAAAAAAGGACAAAAAGATCACAGACCTTTTCAAATTTTCTTCGTTTTTTATTGAAAGATACACCTTTTTTTAAGGGGATGAGGAATCTCTTTCCAAGTTTTCCGTTACAAAATTGGTTTGTTTTTTCTATCTTTCCCCCATGATTAGACTTGACTGGAGAAGAATATTTAAATCTCTTTAATTTAAAATAATATTACGAATCCCAAAAAAAAAAAAAAAATTTCTTTCTTTTTTAATTACTTATTTAAAAAAATATATATTTAAACGCATTTTCATTTCCAAAAAAAATAGGACCGGGGCTTAAATTATTTTATTTATGAAGAGACAGTAATTAAGTTAGAGATAAGAATTTGTTTGGAATATGTCTTTATCTACGACAGAGTTGTGGCTGCCTGAGCAACAGCCAAATCGTTTACTCAAATTAAAATGGACTGATTTAGGGAATCTTTGAAGGGATATGGTTCAGATCAGAAATATTTGTATTTATTATAAAAAGATTTTGTATATGATTTGAATGTTGATAATATTAACACTTATTATTTGGTAATTTTTTTTTTTTTTAACGAGGTGTCCCAACTTGCGCCAGACTATATATTATCGTCCCTGAACCTTCGGCCCCTCAGCTGCTCAGGGAGGTAAATCGCAGGATGTGCCCTTATTGGTTCCCAGGTTCCCACATGGCTTTTACTCATTCCCCAAAGGAAGCCTCCTCCATGGTGATTAATCCACCAATAATTCCTCCTTTATTGGATCAAAGGTTCCCACCAGGAATCGAACTCTCCACGCTTGGTTCCAGAGCCCCCAATGTGATTGTTCCGCAAATTTGGATGTGCCTTGGGGGGCTGGTAATTTTAATTATACTTTAGGAGAATTCAGAAGTGGGAAATGTAGATGGAAGGCGAAAAGGAATATTTTTCATTTTTTTCCCTTTTTTATTTTCAGTTTCATATTCATTTTTTTAAAAGATTTAGCCCTTGTTTGAGTTCCATTTTTTTGAAAAAATATATTCTTAAACAGTGTTTTGACATCATTTCAACCACACATTCTTCAATAAAATAATATTACAGGAAAATTTAAAATTTTTCCTTATTTTTTAACCACACATTTTACATCATTACACTATTCAAAAATGCATTTTCTTGACAAAAATGGAGCTTTAAGGGCTTAAACACATTAGAAGAGTCCTTTGGTAAAGCTTAAAAATGTTCAGTTCATGTCCTCTTTCTATGAGGTGCTCCACTTTACTCAAGATTATTGAATCTAATATAAAAAGGTTAATGAACATTTTAAGGCTTGTGAATCGTCATACAGACTACTTATCGTAGACAGTACAAAATAAATAAAGATATTCTATTTTAAAAAATAATTAAAATGTTTTTATATACAATTCATATGTCTCTATTATATGGATGGAGGATTCTTCCCATGTCGTATGATCGTGTTCTTCGAATCCTATAAAGATATATCATTGACTTCTAGCACGAGAGCGCACTCTAATTAACTTGGGGTCTTAAAATAGAAAGGTTGCTTGTGGATTAGTTCTCCACACAATAATCTTTTATTGTACTTTTAAGCAAATTGGAAATCCAGATATGAAAACCACCAGACAACATAGCTTCATTCACGCCTTTTTATTGTTTGTAGACTTGGATGAGCTTAAAAACATTACTTACAAGTAATTAAAGAATTTTGAAATAAGTATTTTTTTATTGATCAGATTTTGTCAAATATTGTGCCGTGTATTCCGGGGCGGTCACAGGTGTGGGCATGGGTCATGCTGGGGCCAAATTTTATTTTATTTTATTTTATTTCCCTAGATTTCTATATTTTTGTCTCAATCTTTGAAGCCATTATAAAATGTCAACCGAAATTAAAATATTTCATTCTTAATATCATTTCGAAATGCTCACGGCCTAGTTTTCTACGTTATTAATGGCGAGGGAAATGGCACAATGTAACAAATGTTACGGCTTGTCAAAATAGGTAGTTCCAAACTAGTATTTCAAGAATTTTCAATAACCTGCTAACTTTAAAAATTCTCCAACAATCGTAGCTAACTGAATTTACAAATCGCCTATGTCATCTCTAAGCTCATTTTGAGAATTACATCATAGGCATATTGAACAGTTCAAGCAAATATTGAAAATAGTTAAAAATGTGTATATTAAAAAGCGACGTATAACTCGTATTTTCTTTAAAAAATTTCAATTATTATTACTTTTTCGATACAAATTTTCAATATAATTTACATCATTTTATTTGAAATTTTACGTTCGAAAAAGTCATAGCCATATAAATTTTTGAATGTAAAATTACATGGGGTATGTATTTCCGGATGTAAATTTTTGAATGAAAAATTCTTCACAACTTTTTTTGCAAGTTTTATTGTACTCCTCTAATTCAAAATGTCAGCATCAATTCCTACGCGTATTTGATTACGTGAGTAGCCGTGTAATTGGTGATTTTTCCTTTTACCTTTTTTTATTTTTATTTTTATTTTTATTATTATTATTATTATTATTTTTTTTTTTTTTTTTGAAGTGATGGCTAATCATTTATCAGCGGTATAAAATATTTGAGCATGTTACAGCCTTTTTGTTTTAATAATAGGAATAATACCATGGATTGATATATTCTTGGACCATTCACGTACAAGAATAGGAATATAATTTGTTGTCCAAAATTCTTGCGCATATTTATTTTCGAGTGATGCTATGCTTACAAAATAGGTTTACAAAAAAGGTTGATAAAGTGATTGTTGGCAAAATCAAGACCACTCAATTCAAAAACAGTTTTTGAAAGCAACAAAATTTATTGGCATTGATCTTGCCAACACACACTTTCTCAACTATTTTTGTCAAACTATTTTGTACAAGTAATTTAATTGTTTATTTTCAGCAGAATGTTCAATAGGAATAATATTGAGGATTGATATATTTTAGGACTGTCGAAACTTGAAAATCATAGTTTTTGAAAACGATGATTCCTCTAAGAAGGGTTCAATTTTGATGAATTGCCGAGCTCTGAGTTAGAGGATAATACGGTTTTAAAAAAAAAAAATTATTTATTTTATTTTATAACATAACTGAATGTTGTCCTTTGATTTTGAGTTCTTGTTTGATCCACATTATTTTCAAAATATATTTTTATCTTTATTTTAACCACATATTTTTTAATAAAATAATATTATATACAAATCAATAAAATTTTTATCTTTTAATGACATATTCTCTATCAATCTACTATTTTAAAATACATTTTTCAATAAAAATGGAGTTGAAACATGCTCTAAAGGAATATATAAGTAATCCACTGACATTGGATTAATTGGATAGAATAGGCTTTTATGGATGGAAGAAGTTACAATTTATATGGACGAAAAAATGTACAATTTTTATAGACGAAAATATAGAGTATGGATGGCAACGAAATGGGATCAAGATGGTCCTAGTTTATCCCCATCCCATCGACTAAATCTTCAGTGGGGCCACGTGGTGCGCCCGCCCAATGCCAAGGTGTCACTTCTATGGGTGGCCCACACACCTCGGGGCTGTGTGGTAGGCCACCAACCGAGGTGGTACATCTTGATAAGGCGATCGCACCGCCATGTGATGTGACCATCCCATCGAAGTTTCTCTTCATCCCATCCCTGTTTTATTGAAAATTTTCTAGAGTCAGGGTACACTCAAAAATTAAAAAATAAATAAAACAAAATTTACCATCCTGTTTACTTGTTTATTTAATTTTTTATTTGAAGAGGAGTTTGGAAAGGGGACTATATTCCCCAGTATGTGTCATTGTCCCCATCACTACATCGAATAAGAATTCTCCACTTCATTCGGTATGAGCAACGTGAGGCGGGGCAGACTTGTTAATCTTATCGTCCCTATTGTAGTGAGACATGGAAGGCGTAGGTGTATGGGGAGTGGAGAAGGGAGCCGTAAGTGGCGCCCATTTAAGATTTTAAAGGATTTTCATAACATAATCTAGGTTGCTCAATTAATTTAAAATAAGGAAGGTGATTATTTCTCAAATAGTCATTACAATAAAAATGACATTTTGCAACATGTAAAAGACAACAATCGTTAATTGGGTATTGCTAAAAGAGTGTATCACAACATTCCAATAAGTCTATGTTGTCACTGATTAACACAATTGAAATTTCGTAATATTTTTTAAATACATGTTGCTAGTGCCTCCTTTTACCTTTTGCAACGTTCCTTGACTATTCCAAAAAAATTTACATATTTCGTGTTTTTTGTAATGTTCAATGAATGTTGTTAAAACATCACCTATAGTAACATTCAATGTCTATTGCTAAACAATTAATTTGTTGCTTTTTTTGCAACGTTTATTGATTGTTGCGAAAATATACTATATAGCAACGTTCATGGACTATTATTAAAACCTTTTGCAATGATCACATTTAGCAACATTTGGTGCCTATTGCAAAAACTAATAATGTATGACTTTTTGCAAACTTCATTCACTAATACAGAAAAATTGTCTATTGTAACATTTGTTGCTTGTTTCCAAATTTTCTAGTGAATTTTTTTTCATAACGTTCATTGCATGTTGAAATAAAAACACCCCCAAAATTTAACTTTAACCCAAATTAATTAATTTAGAAATCATAAAAAAATTATAAAAAGATAAACATTAAAATTGAATTACATTATTGTTCGATATGGTTTCTTGTTCGATATGGCCTCATCATCTAGTTTTTTCCAGTGAGAATTCGCCTACAAATGTTGAAAAGCGAATTTGAAACATTGGAGATGCTTGATAGCGAGTCAATCTCGGAGTATTTTACTCGAGTCCTCACTATAGTAAATAATATCAAGCGCAATAGAGAAAAGATCAAAGATTTGCAGATTATAAAAAAAATCCTTCGTTCTCTAAATTCGAAGTTTGATAATGTAGTCATAGCAATTGAGGAATCCAAAGACCTCAGTACTATGACTATTGATGAAGTATTGGTTCTCTAGAGATCCATGAACAACGGATCAATAAAAAAACTTCATCAAAATCTCTTGATCAAGCATTACAATCAAAGTTTTCTCTTCAAGAAAATAAAGGAGATGAAAGAAATTCACGACCAAGTCGAGGAAGGGGCCGATTTCAAAGAGGACAAGGTTTTAATAATAGAGAAAGA